AGATGTGGAATTAGTGAATATTTTTTCCCATTCTGTGGGCTGCCTTTTTGTCTTGCTGACTGTGTCCTTTGCCTTACAGAAGCTTCTCAGTTTCAGTAGGTCCCATTTATTAATTGTTGATCTCACTGTCTGTGCTACTGGTGTTATGTTCAGGAAGCTGTCTCCTGTACCAATTCGTTCAAGGGTACCACCCACTCTCTCTTCTAAGAGGTTCAGTGTGGCTGTATTTATGTTGAGGTTTTTGATCCATTTGGACTTAAGTTTTGTGCATGGCGATAAACATGGATCGATCCGCATTCTTCTACATGCCAGTCTCCAGGTATGCCAGCACCATTTGTTAAAGATGCTTTCTTTATTCCATTGTATATTTTTAGCTAATAAGATTGTTTCTAATTTAAATAAAAATTTAAAAAAGTGAAGAAGAAAAAAATTAAAACATTCAACCAGCCCTTTTCGGTCTGAGAATTTTATAAGCCTTACTTGCAAATGTTCATTGCAATGAACCATTAGTCCAGTTCAAGGCTTCTAGCTTCTGCTACACCATTAATACTGAACCCTCAGAGAGGCTCTTGGATACCCTGCTGCTGTCTCAGTCATTGAGATCCTGCATGACTGACCCCTTCACATGCTCCGGAAGCTCATAGATGCGGCACTTGTCATAAGGATAAATATGGAGGAGCGTTTTAGGCAGAAAACAGAAGCAAAGTTGAAGAGGAATACTTCAAAGATGGTGTCCCTGTCTACATGGTTTCCATCAGAGGGCACCTGTTGCCTAAGTACAGTCCAATTTTGTTCATTTATTAACTTTGATCCTTTGGTCAAGGTGATGTCTGCTAGATTTGTCCACTGAAAATCTCTCTTCAACTAATTTTAATTAAAAAATCAGTCACTGAGGCAGCCACCGGTGCCAGCACTGAGGAGGCGGAGGCTGGTGGATCACTGTGAGTTCCAGGACAGTCAGTGCCACACAGAGAAACCCTGCCTTGAAAAACAAGACACACCCACACCCAGAGGATGGCATCATCATTTACTGGTTTCAGAGCAGGACTCCTAGTACTACCTTCCCAGGAGTGCACACCCTTCCCAGGAGAGCCACTCTACCTCGCAGATTCATTTGTGTTGTGATTCTCACAGCAGGCAAAGTGGTTAAAATGGCAACAAACTCATACCAGTTGCCTTTTCATTTTGCATGCCTTCTACTTAGCGACAGCCTTACTACCTTTAGTCCATGCCTCCAGCTCATTTCTCCTGCCCAAGCATTAAGACAGGAGCTGTCAACTGTGACCAAATTAGCCACTACCACCTTTCCCTTCCTAATGGCCATGAAAAGTCACTGACAACCAGGAGAACTCCCTCATGTTAAGCTCAGGGAAAGCATGAGGAACATGAGTTCATACTCTGCAATAAGAACTCTCTCACGTACTTTCAAAACAAAAACAGAAAGCCCTTCATACATAACCATATTTTGCACACCTCACCCACAGATTCATTTTGTACAACACAGACAAGATACTTTTGAAGTAATGACAGCTCTGCCAATGGGTATCAGACAAGGACCTATACTCCCTAAGACCAATGGACCCTGTATGAACACAGCTCTTTATGTGAATTTCTTCCTTTTTATTAGTAAAGGCTTTCCTTGCCCTTCTCTCTTCCTGTGTACCTGGCTTGCCATGACATGCATCCTACATTATAATCTTTTTGCTCATATGTTTTCCACCATTTCTTTTCCGTTTTAACAGGGTTGATCACTGGCTCTTGGCAGAAACTCCAGAGAAGGCTTTGCTACCACTCTAATTGCCGCAGGTGTTCTCTGGGGAACTCTCATTTACCATTTGTAAGTGCTTGTACATCAGCAATGAAGAATATGGGCAATTGTTCTGAGTGGCTCCCTGCTCCATTAGAATGTGGATGCAGCACATCAGAGGCTGTATTTCACAGTCCAGGATCCACACCTTCTTTGTTGGTAGCAGGAGTTCTTTGATGCATATTGAATGCATGAGTGTGTATATCATGAGAGAGAAGAAAATTCTAAAGAGTAAACTGCTTGTATTATTCAGTGTGGGTGACTCCAATCTGGCTTTTAGTCCTTTTACAACTGGGAGAAGTTGGACAGTACCCCTAGCCCTGTGAGGAAGATCTTGCCTGAGCCACTGAACCTATTTCTTTGCTTCCTCCTGCCAAGTTGAATACAGCAACTTGGAATATGTCCAACATCAAGTCCCTGGAGAATCTGAAGTCATCAGTAGCCTACCTCCTCTTGTCATTAGATCAGTTGTTAGTGCTATGGCCACAGCCTTCTTGAACCTGAGCTGTTTCTTTAAAGTCAAGTAAACTATGTGAATGTAGCTTTTCGGACATTTCTAAGAGATGTAATCTCACAGCAGACATCCTGTTCCTCTGACTCTTACAGTCTTTTCAACCCTTCTTCTTAAATGTTCTCTGAGTCCTAGGTGTAGAATTGTGCGGTAGACTGAACCTCCAGAAATGGCAGAGGACTGGAATACTTTTGTTCTAGATTTTAATGGTTTGGATTTGAAGATATCAGAGAGCCAGACACCAGACCTCTCTCCAACTATACCACTACTGAAAGCACCAACATAGGTAGTAGTTAACAGCAACCATCTAGTTCAGTCCTTCAGGGCCTGTAAACACTTCAGTGACCAACACCCTGAGCCTGGATCTCCTCAAAGCCCTGTGAAGGGCACTTTTGCATCATCACTAACCTTTACCATTCTGAGACATTAGATTGGACTTACAGTGAGGGAAGTTCATGAGAAGATAAAACATTACACCACCTTCAGCCTAGAGCATCAATGACTGTGCCCCCCATTATCACTGTAAATAGGTAGTGTGTGGTGATATTTTATGATTTCACAAATGAAGCTTGTATAAAGATCAGATTGCAAAACTAGCCACACTGGAGGCCAGGCAGTGGTGGCACACACCTTTAATCCCAGCGGTCACACTAGTTAGTCATAGAGGCCAGGCAGTAGTAGAACACACCTTTAATCCCAGCACTCTGGAGGCAGAGGAAAGCAGACCGATCTCAGTGAGTTAAAGACTAGCCTGGTCTACAAAGCTACACAGAAAAACCCTGCCTTGAAAAATAAATAAACAAGGAAAAAACACCTAATTGGGGGGACTTCCTTCCAGCTTAAGAGGGATAGTCCATGATCGTCATTTTGGAGAATGTGGGGGGCAGGCAAGCAGGGCACTGGAGCAGTAACTAAAAGCTTACATCGTATTGAAAAGATGGAGGCAGAGAGAGCAAAAGACAGGGCTTGGCATGGGCTTTTGAAACCTCAAAGCTCCCAGTGATATATTTCCTCCAAAACCAACTCCTAATCCTTCCTAAACAGTGCAGCAACTGGGAACACAGCATTCAAGTATATGAGCCTATGGAGGACATTCTCATTTGCACTACCACAGAGGTGACAGGAAAAAAGGAAGGATGGGGGGAGGGATGAAGCGGGAGGGCGGGGTGAGGAAAGGAAGGAAGGTAGGTTGGTTTGGCATGATGGTACTAAAAGGGTTTCTTTCAGTTTTTTTTAGAAAAGGAGCTGAATTTTAATTTTTTAACTTTGCATTTATTTTTGTCACTGAGGCAGCCACCGGTAACTTTGCATATCTTCAGAACACATCTTCAGAAGGAAAATAGCAGAAACTGTGGAAATAAAGTGACTATAGGATGGATGCTGGTTAGTTTGCTCTTCTACTTACTGCAATACCTGAAACAGTCAATGCAGAATAAAGGGTTGAAGAAATTACACAACAGAAAAGTGCCTGACTGATTAGGAAATTACCGCAAGAACTGAGAAACATTACTGCATACAGTTAAGAAGTTTCTGCAGAGCAGAGGAAACACCAGAGGGATGATACAGCCTGTTGATTGGGAGAAACTCTTTGCACATCATGTCTGTCAAAGGATTAATATCCAGAATAAATATATGAAAAAATCAATTACCAGAAAAGCAAAATAAGTCAATCAGTAAATGGAAAAACTAATTGAACAGAGTTCCAGAGTTCTTTTTTTATTTATTTTTCAGTTTAAATTTAGATAAGAAACAAGGTTGCTTCACAAGTCAGTTCCAGGTCCCTCTCCCTTTCCCTCCCCTCCTCCCGTGCCCTCCCCCCACCTCCCCATTATCCCCTCATTTCCCCAGGGAGGGTGAGGCCCTCCATGAGGGTGTTCATAGTCTGTCATTTCATATAGGGCAGGGCCTAGACCCTCCCTCAAGAGTTCAGGGTGAGTGTGCACCTCACATTGTAGTTCTAGAGTTCTTGAAAGGAGTACATAAGGGAAATGCTAATCAAAACTACACTGAGAGTCTATTTCCTTTTTTGTTTGTTGGTTTATTTTTGTTTGTTTGTTTTTATAGCCCAACCAAAGTTTCCCCTCCCTTCTTCCCAGTTCCTCCCTCCACCCCTACTTCCTCCACTGTTTCCTTTCAGATTCAGACTGGCCTCCCAGGGATATCATCTGTGAGACTAGGCTCCTCCTCTTCTATTAAGGCTAGAGAAGCAATCCAGTAGAAAGAAAGGGTACCAAAAGCAGGCAACAGAGTCAGAGACAGCCCCTGCTCAAATTGTTATGGGTCCCATAAGAAGACCACATTACACAACTATAGCATATATGCAGAGGGCCTAGGTCAGTCCCATGGAAGCTCCCTGGCTGTCAGTTCAGACTCTGTGAGTTCCTATGAGCCCAGGTTAGTTGGTTCTGTGGGTTTTCTTGTGGTATCCTTGACCTTTCTGGAGTCTACAATCTTCTTTGACAGGATTCCCCATGCACAGCCTAATGATTAGTTGGGGGTCTGCATCTGTTTCTATCTGTTCCTGGGTTGCTATTGTCATCTCCAAGGGGGATAAAAGATAGTTTCTCCTAGAGTCGCATAGGAATGACCATAGCCCAGGAACACAGATGTGAGTTACCTCAAATCCGAAGTTCCAACGTGGTAACAATTTCATAACCTTTTATAGTAAAAAAACGAAGAAAATCATATTCTAAACACTTTTAAATGCGTTTGGTGGAAACATCAGGTAGGCAGTTTACAGAAAAGGGGGGGAAACCTCAACTATAGGCCTCCGATGCCCTCATAGATTTCGACTAGGTAGAAGTCAAGAGCCTGTTTGTATATTCCAAAGGATTTACTTATACCCACAAATATGTTAGGTCACACACAGAGTTGGGTAATAAACTGCTGTTAATTTGGCTGAAGATGGCCAATGATAATTTGGCTCTGATCTTGTAAGATTACAGTTTCATGGTCACAGCTTCTTTCCATACCATTCACTAGACAAAACCACAAACAAAGACAATGCAATAAATAAAAGCCCTGTTTAGAGACACTGGACACCAGGCCAAAAGAAAAAAGAAAAGAAAATCACATTTCATTTTCCGATTCTTCTTGCTGTTCAGGACTTTTCAGAAGTTGAGTTTCTGAGGTGCAGAGCTTGCTAAGTCTCCATTTAACCAACCTGTGTAAAAAGAAAACTATCTCTGGTTAGATATCTAAAATTAAACCTTAAGGCAATATAAATCTACAGTAAGACAAACTGCCAATTATTTGTATAACTGGGGATACAACCCTAAATGAAAATAACTTTTGTTTAGCTTTGAGCTGTTGAAAAGTTATGTAGATTAAAGCAAGGTATAAGTAAACAGATAAAAATATGGTCTTTCAAATTTAGCACATCAGAACATAATTTTGATTATTTCTAAGCAAGCAGGAGAATCTATATAATCTGTGCCAGACGAATCTGACATCAGTGGAGTTTCTACATTAAGACCACAACAACTTGTACATTACAAGAAGATGGCTTTTTCTCCAAAGAATATATATGGATTCATTTCCTTCCATATAGATGTTATCCCAAATTAACTTAAACCCCACATCAAGTCTGGGCTGGATTTCAGCTCTTCCTTGTAACTTCAAAAAAGTGTGACACCATACTTCATAAAGGTGGCAAACTCCTTTCCAGTAGATGGCTAGCCCTAAAACCCACGGGCACATGGGTCAATAATTAGACTTTGTGGTATTTTTTAAAGAAGAGGATATGGAGTTGGGAGAGGGACATGTCTGAAGAGGTTTTGGAAGAATTAGAGATGGAAAAATTGGAGAAAGAAACTAACTTCTCTAACCACCTACATCCTGATCCATCTTCTGATGATATTTGGGCCTGTTACAAACAGATTCCTCAAAGGAAGACAGACATGGGTAGTGACAAGCCCCCCATTTTAGCAGCCATGACAGGCATGTGCTTGCATGACCTTGGGCTTCCAAACTTGGAAGTGCACCAATCCTGAAACTGTTTCATACCCCTAGACATTCCCCTTAGGTTGCCCTTTAAGATCCCTGCCTTGCGGGGTTCTCCAGGTTTTTCTCCAGCCATCTGCCATGGTGGAGGAATGAAGGGCCCAAGCTAATGGGTTTAGCTCGTTAAACAACTGCAATAAAATATTCTTTGCTTTTGCATGGAAATGGACCTCTTGGTGATTTTGGGGTTCAGAATTTGGGCACAACATTTGGGGTTCAGAATTTGGGCATAGCACAGGGAAAAGAGGCTTTAGTAGATGGACATACTTTTCACTTAAACATTTAAGATGGAAGACTTCCTGTTTTCTCTCCCTCTCCAAGACAAAGATTCAGTGGGCCTTTTCCATCAGAGGGAACTGTTCTGGGGGCCTTTCAAATATCCCACAAGGGAAGCACAGGTGAATGTGCTGCAGGATAACGCATGACTCAGAGACACATCCCAGAGAGCTATTCCAAGTTTGAATCATCATTTACTGTTTTTCTGGCAATTGTGTCTGTCTGTGCTTCCTAACAATTTTCTGCTATACTACTTTATTTTATTGGACAGTAATAGAAGAAATTAATTCATGGAAAGGATTTGAACTTTAAGGTTAATTCAGTTAAGTCCTGATGATCACATATCTGATGAATGAAAGTCATTAACTTACCAAGTAATAAGAGCATAGTTAATTCCAATGATGAAATAGGTCAATGCATAATAAAAACAAAAGCATGAGGCGAGAAACATAACGTTGCTGTGATCAGACAGGTCCCATGCATGGTCTCTATTTTTGGGATACAGGACAAAAGCAACCTGTGTTTCAAAAAAGAATGACACATAAAATAACCAGACACATTATCAAAATCATTTATTCAAAGTACTTGATGACTAGATGATTGCCAGTGTCAGAGACAACACACATAAATCATCATATTTTTCTACAGATTTTGGTAACATAAACAATATGTACCTAGTTGTCTTTCTAAACTATCTCAAAAGAATGTTAACCCTTAAATGTGCCATCCTTATTAATCCCCTCACTAGTTCCAGTTCCAAGACTCAGGGAACATCTCAGAAGAGGAGACAGAAAGATAAGAGCCAGGGGGTGGGAGGAATGCTGTGAAAAGCTGTCTTTTGAATATAACATGGCTGTCCCACTCATGAACTCACAAAAGATGGGCTTATTTGTTCAAAACCAGTCACAGAATCAAACCAACCAAAGTTCTGGTGTAGAAGGGAAACGGGCTCTCCAGGCCCTACCGTTTACCAAGCTATTGAGAGTTGATAGCTGTTGAGAAGAATCGTTCTCCTTAGAGGGTATGACCACTGGTAAATTCCCCATGTTGCAGTGGATGATCCCATGCCTGTGCATATATGGGAAGTACTGATTTGACTCAGTAAGTTTTCAAAAAATAGAAGATGCGAAGTTGAGAGAGACACGGGCTGAGGAGGGATTCAGGGACTAAGAGAGATGAAATGGGATAGTGGCATGAATATACAATGAATTATATGATCATAATTCATTGTGTACATAAATGAAATTCTCATGAATGAAGAAAGCTTTTATATGTAAATGGTCAATAAACAAATGGAAGATGAACGACACCATGGAGAGAGACAAATTAATACAACAGTGGGATATCGCTTGCTACTCACTAGAAGGGCAGCCATAATAGTAAATAAAAACTAGCAAATACTGGTGAGAATGCAAAGGAACTGGAATCCTTAAACCTGTAAAACTGTTATAATGAAAAAGGTTGACAGTTTCTCAGAAAGTAAAATTTTGAATTGCCATATGATCTAGCATTCTACCACTAGGAATGCCTCCCAAGTATTCAAAAGAACAATCTATGTATTAACGTTCATATGACTTTTCAAACATGAAAAAGAAATGAAATATTAATATATGTGATAACATGGATAAAACTTGAAGATATTATGCGGAGTGAAAATGAGCAGAAACAATAGGGCATGTATTGTCCTATTCTTTTATATAAAATATTCATAACAGGTGGGGTTAGAAAACAAGTTAGTAGGTGGCAGAGACAAAGTAAAATATGCTAGTTGGGTGCAGGTTTCTCTTTGCGGGCATGAGAATGTATGGGAGATCATTAGAGGTAGTAATGCATGACATTATGAATGGAATAAATGCTGCTGAGTTTTATCCTTTAAAATTGTGTGTTATATGAACTTTATGCCAACAAAATGATAGATTGATTAATTTCATGTCTCTAGAGTAAAATGAAATATACAATTGGATAACATCATGGATAATTACACAAATGATATGGTAAGTTGGCCATGTACCCACTGAAGTACCTACATGTTCCTCCTAGTGGTCTTCCCAGAATTCATTATCACCTTTAATTTGTTGTCTTTATTTTCCAAATAATGAAATTTTATAGGAAAAATTATGTACTTACACTATATTGAGTAAATCCTTAATTTTATTTCTTCCTTAAATTTCAAATAGTTTAAGTTAGTCAGTAGAAACTAAGATAATTTTTCTTTTACTTTAATCAGTTGTCCCCATGTATAGATTCTGTGGTTGGCATGAGAACAACTTTCATTATATCATATAGTAAAGACACTGGTTTTGGTGAGTGTGCCTGTGTGTCAAACATAGTCACCTCTTGGTCTGTAGTCATCCAGTATTCCTGTTTGAATTCTCATAATATTCTGTATGTGGTACTATTGTAGCTAAATTTATATGAAAATAATTAGCAGAGAATTGCCTAGTTCCATGATTGCATGACCCTTGCAAAATAACTTTTTCTTCTTGTGTCTTCCTATTGATAAATGAAATGGTAATACTTAACTGTCACATCATCATAAACAGAATGAAATACAATATTCATAAAATTCAATTAAAGGTAGACATGGAATATCCCTATAATCACAACACTAGGGATATTGAAGCCTTGAATTCTAGGATTCTGAGTTCAAGGCCAACTTGAGATACCTAGTGAGACACTCAAAAGAACTTTTTAATACAATGGAAAATATACACTTATTTCTCAATAAATAACAGGTTCTTCCCTTGCCTACTTTCCATATATTTCTGGAGCTATAAGCTCTTATTATCAAGTGCTGATGATAACTAGTATCATCAACTTAGAGTTTCTACATGATGGATAACCAGATGTCTGATTACAGGCACATTCTACTTCCTGCTCGGCTGCTCTATCAGTGTTTTTACTAGGAACCCCAGGTCTCTTAAAGACATTGCCTCTTAAAAACCAACAGTTTCACTATAGGCAACATGTCTCTGGATGCTATAAGAAACTACCTCATCAAATAAGGAAAGGCTGACAACAGGTGGAAACAAAATAGAGACAGCCAGAGGCTTCAACCTACCTGTAAGAACCACAACCCATGTAGCATGGTGAGGCTTGACCTCAGGAGCTTCAGAATTAGATTGTTCTTTGTGAATAGTTCTAGGAAGGCAACCAGACCTGCCAAAAACATAGCGAAGCTCAACAGTTGATGCCCGAAAGTGTCCACTAATGCCCGATCATATGTGTGATTGTAGAAAATGAAAGCTAATAGGGTAGAAAAAAAAACAGTTTGATTTTTAAAGAAACCGAAGACAGCCAACTCACCACTTCTCTCTCCTGCCTTCTTTCCTTCTCCAGCCCCAGAACTTTATACACCCACACAACTGATCAAAAGGGGAGGTCCCCACTGAGTCTCACAGCAGAGCAGCCTTGCACCTTTTCAGCTATCACCACCTATTTAGGACGAATCATTGAAACTTAACCCTCCTTTTGCTTCTCCAACCTTTATTTCCTCTTCTAATGTGCAATTGCCAACTAACTGTATTTAAAGGCATTAATACGCAGGCCAATAAATAATAAACATGACAGGGCAGGCAGCTACAATTCACATGAATACACAGATGATAAGCTGGAGCCAAAGCCTTGCCTTAAGGATTTCAGTGCCCTGAAAAAAAGTAAACACACCTTGAGAGGTGTGGCAGTAGTATCTTCAGGTAGCATCTAACTACAATATTTCATTACATAAACATATTCCAATTTCACCTTAGTAGTTTTCATTAAGTTAAAAGAAAAGGATATTCATTCAAGATATGAGAACCAGGCTATTAGTTGTTGAAATTTTTTTCTGTCCCTTTTCCTCAAAAAAACAACAGGGAAGAACTACTTTCTTCACATAGAAGGAAAGAAACAGTTGCTTCCTAACCACTGCCAGCTTTCAGAGCTACATAATCTACTTTTTCACATGCATGATAAATGAAGAAAAATCATTAAAGACCTTTTCCTCATCCACCTCAGTATCTTTGGAGAAAACAAATGAATAAAACATATGATTTATTTTCCATTAATTTCTCAAAATTAGGACTTCCACTTTTTAAAATTTAAATTAGGAACAATCTTATTTTATATATCAATCCCAGTTCCCTCTTCCTCCCATTCTCCCATGGCCCGCATCAAGCCCCATCCCATCCCTCTCCTACTTCACAGAAAGGCTGAGGCCTTCCATGAGGGATCATCAAAGTCTGTCACAACATTTGGGGCAGGGCCTAGGCTGAGAGAGTATCCCTCTATGGAGAATGGGCTTCCAATAGGACTTCCAATTCTAACGTGGTTGAAATTTGCAGACTCAACTTCACACATAATGGCAAAGTTTTACTAATTTAAAAGCTAGTTGGCAGGTAGCAGAACTATACTGCTGCTAGCAGTTAGCTACCCCAATTGAGGAGTCATGCTTCCATTAACCTCTGGGTTTAAATTTCCTTGTTAAAAGTATAAAAGAAAACAAAGAAAGAAGGTGATTCTTCAGGACAAATATGAAACACAAATAAATAACATTAGGTTGTGTCTGCCAAATCTTGCAGAACAAGAAAGTAGATAAGAAAGATCCTTGGCATCCTACAGAAAATAGGCAGGTATCTCAGTATAGCCCAGACACTTTGCCCTGTCACTCAGAACTTCACTAAGAAAGCAAATACATTTTATTGTACAGGGATACCCAGATGCTTACTATTAGAGAGAAGAACAGAAAGGAAGGAAGGAAGGAAGGAAGGAAGGAAGGAAGGAAGGAAGGAAGAAGAAAGGTAGAAAAAAGTGAAAAGAGAAAAAAACCCTACTCCCCTATACTTACCATCCACAAACAAGGCATTTGATAACATTAACTTGACCAAAGAGACTGGAAGTGATCTAATGGTGAAACATAAGATCTTGGTCCCACCTAGCATTGCAAAGAAGAAATAAATGGCAAGATGATGCCAGTGCAGGACTAGGACCAACTGGGATTCTTTATCTGGTAGCTGGTTTCGCTTTCCAAGCATGAGGTATAGACCAGTTATTCCTGTAGAAAATCATACAACACTTTTAGCAACACTCTACATGATTTTGCCCAGCACACATGCAAAAAAATGAACATTGCTAATTTCAATCTACTGGGTCTTCTTTTTTATTTATTCTTTTATTTTGATTTCATTTTATATTCCAAGCACAGTTCTCCCTCCCACTCCTCCTCCTGTCTCCTCTCACCTCTTCCAGTCCATCCCCCACCCATTCCTCCCAAAGTATAAGGGCTTCCATGGGGAGTCAACAAAGACTGGCACATTAAGTTGAGGCAGGACCAAGACCCTTCCCCCTGCATTAAGGCTGAACATGGATCCACCCTAGGGAATGGGCTCTAATAAGCTAGCTCATGCACCAAGAATAGAATCTGGTTCTACTGCCAGGGTCACCTCAGATAGACCAAGCTTCACAACTGTCTCCCACACATGGAGGGCCTAGTTCCATTCCACAGAGGCTCCATGGCTGTCAGTCTAGAGTTCATGAATTCCCACCAGCTTGGTTGAGCTGTCTCTGTAGATTTCACCATCATGATCTTGACCTAATCTAATAATATTACTTCCTATCTGAGCAGTTGCCTATCAGTTATGTAGTGACACTTTAGACTTTCTTAGAGGTCCAAATGCTAATTGAGATAACCAGTTTTAGTCACAACCAATGCTGATGATTTTGGTTCAAGTCTATTCCAACATAAAGTCCAAGATTTATGAGACTGTCCTATAGAGGATGGCTGTTCATTTCCTAGCTACCCTTTATCTAGTGACTATCCAAAGGTCATATAAACCTGAAATACATTGCTAACAAATTATATCACATGGAAATTGTGATAGAACATTTAATAAATATTTTTGAATAAGATATTCAGCTCTGTAATTCTTTAATTTTGTGTGTGTGTGAGAGAGAGAGACTTTTCTATGCATATAAAAACATCAAATTGAAAAAACACAATACAGTGAGTCAACTCACCTACTATTGCCATGCCAACTATGACAATTCCCTCCATAATTTCTGCTCGAATGAAGAATTCTTTGGTAAGAAGGAAGGAAGACCTCTTTTGCTGTTCACAAACATGCTTGAGAATATTCTTTATAATCCACCAAAGAGCTATAATAAAGAAAAGTACTCCAGGAAGAAAATGACCTGGGAAATCCCCTATGACCTACAAAGAAAAGAATATAAAAATGATAGATATTTCATTTCTAGAGCATCACCAAATCATTTCTCATCCCAAAACAGTAGACTAGCTTCTGATGGTTATTAGCACATTGTAGATGATATTATTGTATCAAATATACCCACAAGATTAAAATTCACTTTGACACTTGATAGTGTACATTATGGGAGATGTTTTAATTGCCATCTCTAGTCCAACTTTCACAGCATACCTATGAATAGGGGATTAATAGTCCATTTTCAACTGAAGTACGAGTTTACAGGAGTTAAATGATTTTACCATATCTCACAACTATTAAGCAAATTTTTTTGGTTTTTAACACAAATCTCAAAATGGTGTCAGTGAGAAGGCCTTGGCAATTTATGGGGCCTTGGGTAGATCAGTATTTATCCCTGGTGCACAAATGGACTTTGGGAAACCATTCCATATGGAGGCATGCTCTCTTAGCCTGGACACATGGGGGAGGGCCTAGGCCCTGCCTGGGATGATATGACAGAATTTGAAGATCCCCCATGGAAGACCTCACCCTCCCAGGGGAGCAGAGGGGGGATTGGGTGGGGACTTGGGGGGTTGGGGGTGGGGAAAGAGGAGAGGGAAAGGGAACTGGGATTGAAATTTGAAGCAAGCTTGCTTCTAATTTAAATTTTAAAAAAAGAAAGAAAATAAAACTACCTAATAAAGAAAAAAAACCTGATGCCTTGACTCCAATAGAAGAGAAAGTAGGGGATTGGCTTAAACTCATTGGTACAAGAAATGACTTTTCTGAACAGGGCCCCAATAGCATGGCCATTAAGATGGATAATAAATTTGACCATATGAAATTAAAAAGTTTCTGCACAGCACACAGAATGGAAAATAATCATTACCAGCGATACATCTGACAGATACTTAGTATCTAGAATACATAAAGAACTCAAAAAAATTAAAAACAAGAAAGTAGATGTCCCAATTTAAAACTGGAACATAGAACTGAACATAGAGTTCTCAAAAAAATGAATATAAATGTCTAAGAAATGCTTTTAAGTTGTCAGTATCCATAAACAGCAATGAAATACAAACTGAAACTTCCTTGAGACATTCATAAAAATAAAATATTTTAAAATTGTCAATATAGAGTAAAAGAAAGCAAGAATAGAAGAAATATTCTAGTTTAGATTACTATAGCAGGTAGAAGAACTGTGTTGTCTGGTCTTAAAGGCCAGCTGCCCTATTAGGAGTCCTTGGAGAGCTCATTGAAAACAACCAGTAACTTTGCCTACTAGGCCATACCCTAACCATGCCACATCTAAACTCCTGTCCTCTGGTCCAATCTGGTGAACTTCCTGAACCCTAACATGCCTTCACCCTCTCCAATTTCCAGACCTACCTCAGGTCACATGTCCTTTGAACCAGCTCAGTTTAAGTCCCACCCTCAACTTTCCCAACCTCCAGGCTTGGACCCAGTCACATATCCTGTGTACCAATCTAGTCCAGTGAATCCCCAGACACCAACATACATGACAGATGTTCAACTTTCAGACCTCGCCGGGGATGCTCATTTGCGCACTTACCCAGTCTGGTGAATCTCTAGAACCAAACCTGCTCACACTATCTACAACTCAAAGGCCTACCTTCCGTTGCACAGCCTGTGAGCTAGCCTACGCTGGTGAGTACCAAATATGCTGGCTCAACCACATCATGCTCACACCACCAGGTAAAATTTGTACACCAGCACGAGAGGGTTCAGTCCTTTGTCCTATTTGCATGTCTTCTGTCTTGCCAGTGAATTGGAATCACCCCTATTCCTCCAATCTAAAGTAAACCAAGTATCTGAAGGATTGACCTACCAACTCCTCATACCTCATCTGAAATTACTAATCTTGGTCAACAAGATAAGCAATCTTCCACTCAATAGGGGCATCCTAGAATCTCAAATCCTAGACATACAATCAATGAAAGAAGTTCACATGCCCAGCTCTCATCACAAAAGCACAAATAATATGAAAGACCAAGAAACTGTCTTCCCTCAAATCCACCATCCTATAGAAATGTTCTCCAGTGAGAGCTACCTAGGTGAACCCTAGTGTAGTGAAAATATCTTTTGTCTCCAAAGAGACTGAACTTCAGCCAACTTAATAAAATACTTTGAGATCATTTAAAATTATGTACTAAGTCTTCGGTCCTACTGTGTACTCTGCCTGTTTGGGTGTATGCTCTGCACTTAAACCTACATGAAAAACATAGCTCTAGGGTGGTGGTGGTTCAGCCTTTAATCTCAGCACTAGGGAGGCAGAGACAGGAAGATTTCTGTGAGTTTGAGGCCAGTCTTATCTACTGAGTGAAAGCCAAGGCTGTTATGCAGAGAAACCCTGTCTTGTCTTGAAAAAAAAAAAGCTCTTATCTCAAACTATGTACTCTCCCATACCCCTGACCTAGGGGAGAGAGAGACAGACAGAAGGACAGAGAGAGAGACAGAGACAGACAGAGAGACAGAAACAGAGAGACCGAGACAAAGAGACAGAGAGATAATTGTGGTAACCATTGCTGAAAACAGCCAAAGTAATGAAAGCAACCTTAAACAACAAATATCTAATAACATAGCATCAAAGACAATAATGTATCTTGGAATAAGCCTAACCAAGAAGGTGAAGGACATCTTCAGTAAACCTTTAAATCTCTTTAAAAAGAGATTGAGAAATACACTAGAAGAAAAAAAGACTTTCCATGTTCAAGGATTGATAGAATTAATATTGTGAAAATGGTCAATGTACAAAAAACAATTTACAGATTCAACCACAACGCAAATCAAAATCACTATGACATTCTTCACAGAAATAGAAAAAAATCCTAAAGTTCATAAAATAACTCAGAGAGCCAAACCATTTCTAAAGAGAAATAACAATGCTCTAGGGACTACTGTCCCATGTTTCAAGTTATATTACAGATATATACCATGGAAAACATGTTACTGGCAAAAAATAAAACAGACATGTAGGCCAGTGGAACATAATAGAAGACATGAGTGCATACATCTATAGCAATCTGATATTTGACAAAGATGCCAAAAACAAACACTGGGAAAAAATGTAACATCAAATGGTGCTGGGGAAACTGTAATATAATAAAATTAGTCCTGAATCTATTACTGTGCACAGTAATTAGCTCCAAATTGATCAAAAAACCTCAACATGAAACTTATGATACTAAAAGTACTAGAATATTCTACAAGATGTAGTATAGGAAAGAACTTTCCGAATGGAGTTCCATTTGCCCAAGAATTAAGGTCAGCAATTGGCAAGTGGGACTTCATAAAACGAAAACATTTCTGTACAGCAAAGGAAACAATCAACTAAATGAAAAGGAAGCCCATGAAATAGGGGAGACTCTTTGCCAGCCATATATTTGACAGGGGATTCAAATCTAGAACATACTAAGAAACCAAAAAGAAAGTTAAGAAAACAAATGGTGCAACATATCTGGATATGAAGTTCTCAAAAGAAGTAAGGATCCAGAAAAGTCTTTAAAAGGGTTCAGCATCCCCTGCAATTAAGAAAGTGCAAATGAAAACTGTATTTCATCTCACCCCAGCCAGGATGGATAACATCAAGAAAACAACTGACAATACATGCGGGAGTGGATTGGGAAAGGAGAGCCTACATTCATTCACTCTTGGTGTAATTGCAAACTGCTGCAACCACTCTGGAAATCCAAGTTCAAAAGGTTAAAAATAAATCTACCATGTGAGTCAAGTATACCACTCCTTCGCGTGTGCCCAAAGAACTCATTATCCCGCTCCACAGATAGTTGTTCAACTATGTTTGTTGCCTTCTAACCTGGTAATCCTTGTGCAACTTGTGCGGCTGGAGACTTTCTGGCACCAGACCCTCGTCTAAACTATCCTGATAAACTTGTTTTTCTCAGTCAATCTCTAGACCCTACCTTTATGGATAGTGTCACATGTACTTTACAAAGACTTTCAATGTTGTCAGATCTGATCTGTGTTTAACTTACAAGTAGAAAGAAATTTGGGTATGTTTGGTTGTACATGTGGCGTTAAGTTAATCATCACAAGAATAGTTTTCACCAGATTGTGCTGCTTTTTTTAAATTATTTTTTATTTAGGTTAGAAACAATCTTGTTTCACATGTCAATCCAGGCTCCCTCTCCCTCACCTCCTCCCCCGCCCTCCCCACCATGTCCCCCAGTCTCCCACCCAATCTCCACTCCGATCACCAAGGAGGGTGAGGAACTCCATGGTGGATCTCCAGTAACTGTCATTTCATCCAGGGCAGGGCCTTGGCCCTCCCCCAAGAGTCCCAGCAGAGAGAGCCTCCCATATTGTGGCATAGTCTATTTGTACACCAGGGATAAATACTACCCAAGGCCCCATAGATTACCTAGGCCTCCTTACTGACACTCATATTAAGGGGGTCTGAGTCAGTCCCATGCTTTCCACACAGCCATCAATATGGAATCCAAGTTTCCCCCTTGTTCAGGTCAACTGTTTCTGTGGGTGAAACCAGCCCACTCTGAACTCCTTTGCCCAACAGTTCTCTCTTTCTGACACTGGATTCCAGGAGTTCAGTTCAGTGTTTGTCTGTGGGTATCTGTCTCTGCTTTCATCAGTCACTGGATGAAGGTTCTGTTTCCTAGACTCTCTGGCAGTGGGATTGTATGCTGGCACTCCCCTGATTCATGTCTAAAATCCATAAATGAGTGAATACATACCATGTTTCTCTTTTTGTGACTGGGTTACCTCACTCAGTATGGTTTCTTCTAGTGCCATCCATTTGCCGGCAAATTTCAAGATTCCATTGTTTTTTTTTCCGCTGAATAGTACTCCATTGTGTAAATATACCACATTTTCTCTATCCACTCTTCAGTTGAGGGGCATCTAGGTTGCTTCCAGGTTCTGGCTAATACAAATAATGCTGCTATGAACATAGTGGAGCAAATGTCCTTGTTGTATGGATGTGGATCTTTTGAGTATATGCATAAGAGTGGAA